GCAGAGGAACACAACTGGGTTGCCTGATATAAAGAGACGTAATCCCTGAAACAGAGCTTCCCACTTGCGCAATATGGAAATATCTGCTAAGTGTGCTACTTATCTTTATCAGCCTGGCAACCATGTGCACTCGCTCTCTCTCCACTGTGGATAAACGCGGTTGCAGTTTAGCGATCTCCACTTTAATATTCTGTTCTCAGAGAGAGAGAGAGAGAGTCTGTGTATGTATGAATTACCTCCGTTTTGCCGCGTTTCTCTATTAACAGTGAAGCTGTGGCTTTAATTCCTTTAGAAACCATGTTGTTACCAGCTCCTTGTTGAGAAAGATAATGTAGCTCTTGAGCGATTAAGCTACTTTATTGATAAAATTGCAGGGCAGCGCTAAAAAGTTTGTGTTGCTGAATGTGATCTGTGTGAGTGACTAAAATCGTGTGTGCATGAGATACAGTGAAGACAGCGCATTAGTTTAGAACTCTTCTAATTTTTATTTTTTTAAATGTAGAAATTGTGTTAATTTGTGCAATGATAACCTACCAGCAATGTAAAGATGATTTTTAAAATATATTAGTACGAGTACATTACAATATAAATTTATTATAACGAGTACATTATTATTTATAATATTTATAATAGTTAGAAATGGCCCTATAGTATGCAGTCTTTAATAAACAGCTGTTTTACTCAATTCGGCTTTGGTGAAATTCAGTGCAGTCCTGTATCGTGATACGTATCGTATCATGACATATGTATCGTGATACGTATCGTATCGTGACTGGTGATATACAGCCCTACAAATCATGTCGTCTGAATTCAAACAAAATCGCAAAATAGTTACTTTTTTTTTTTTTTTTTGTTTGACATTTTCCAACAGACAAGTATATAGTGACAAAACGCTTCATTGCTAATGTTTGTAACATAAAATGTTTCTTTGTAGTGAATTTGTTCATTTGGAGAGTTTATTTAAATTAGACTGGTTAAGTAATGATTCACTGAACGGACATCCCTTTGCCTTTTTTAATTTAATTAATATTCTAGTTAAATATTGCTGCTTCTCACCATTTTTCATGTAAATAAAGGTGTTTTCTTTTTTTGTTGTTGTATTTAGTGTAAATGTATAAGCTATATTTATCTAATAAATTGAATGCAGCCATTTTATTTGAGATCCTCATTGTTTTTGTTGCAGATAAATGTTGTAAAAAATAAATTGTAGCCTGTATCATTACAGTTATGCATTTATAAAGATATTTCACCCTAAAATAGCTTCAATATAATCTTTTTCACTAGCTGCTTGCAGTGTAGCTAACTACAATTTTAATCAGGTAACTGTTTCAAATCAGCTTCCCCAACACTACTAAGTATGTACATTTCTCCTGTGGTTGTCTGATGTATGTGATATACCATTTGATGAAAGATGTTACTGAACCAAAACGAACTGCTTGGTTTACCTTCACAACATTAGATTCACACTCATGTTAGTTCCTCATTCTGTTGTTTGGTTTTGGTTTCTCTGTAACTGTCAAGCATGCTTGCACATGTGTTTGTTAGCTTGCAATGAAAGTGGAAACATATGATGAAGAAAATGTTTAAAATGTTAAATTACTTTTTTTTTCTCTTAACAGCAAAACACATCTTCGCTGTGGTCTATCCATGAGCCTTTCTATATATACCTTCTACAGGGCAGCCGAGTGAATGCAGATGAAGGCATGAAGGTAAAACTGCTTATTTTGTTTACTTGTTTGTTTGTTTGTTTGTTTATCTGCATTTGTATATTGTTAGTAGGATGTGAGTGCCATGTTGTTTAGCGTTTCAACTGTGTGCAGGTAGCGAGGGGTGAAATCATGAACACTGTGGTCATGTGACCCTGACCACATATTTCCCATAATTCATCAGAAGCGGTTAAGTGAAACATCAAAACAGGAAGTGGGGAGTGACTATCTGGCTTTACGGCTCTCTCTTGAGCCTAGATTCTTAGAAAAGGCCAGCACTGTTGCTTATGTTCACCGCTTGCATCTCCTTTTTTGCTCGTCGGAGAAGTCAACATTGAACGGTTGTTTCTATTTTAAAATGTTCATGAGAAACGGTTAGATTTTTTTTTTCTCATTTAGCCTGAGGAACAATTATTGCAGCGGTGGACGATGTGGTGGACGAACGTCAAAAACCTTCATGTAATTTTTCCTCACAGCAAATTGTTTCAAAAAATAAATAATTTCTGGCATTCAATCATGGGTGCAGCAGGCACAATGATATTACGCAGCGCCTGAAAATAGCCCCCAGCACGCTCCCTGTGCAAGCAGGTGGTCACTTTGGTTATGTTGACGGAAGTTAGCCTATTTTTAGGTGCTGCGTAATATCATTGCGCCTGCTGCACCCATCGTACGGCAGCAAAGTTCCTTGATTATTACGCCGGAATAAGAGTATAGTTCCTAGCCATATCGGCCTAGAAAATCGCAACTTTTCATTTTCCGTCGGTCTTAGTACATGATGTAACTACAGAAGAGTCAAGTTTTAAATAGGAAAAATATAGAAACTCTTTGGTCATTTTTGAGCGAGATGCTAACGGTCTAATCAGAGTCAATGATCTATGCTATGCTACAGCTAAAAGTACTTCAGCCAGACCTGAAGATTGGCTGAATGGATTCGAAAACGGTAAAACTCAACTGTTTAACTCTAGGGGAGTTGGAAAATTAGCCTATTTTCAAAAATAGTGGAGTGTTCCTTTAAACGTTTCCATCATTATTGTTCACAAAAAATATACAGTTTCTTTAATATGTTAATCTCTTGTCATATTATATTGTGAAAGTTTAAACAAAGGGAATGCCTTTAAATAGTAAAACAATTATGAAAGAAATTATGTATAAAATGTAGCTTACAAAAGTACCAAACCATCAAGCAACTGTATAAAATGAAAACATTTAAAATGTGTGTTTATGAAAAATGCACTTGTCCTGAGGACACATAGTTCAAACTTTCAGTTAAAATCTATCTTTATTATTTGAATAATATAAAAAATATGATTATATTGTAAGTTTAAGTTTGGTGGATAGAATTCACAAACATTACATTTTTATAATTAGAAATGATAAGAATATAGTTCTTTTAATTTAAGAAGGTTTTGAACTTTTTTTTTTTTTTTGAACAAACGAAACCACTGCTAGAGAAAAACATTTATTTCTTGTGACAACTGTCCCGCGTAACAAGTTACTCAACATGCTTTTTATGCCAGACACTCATTTACTTCCTCATACTTTACTCACTTCATTCATTCATACATTCTTTTATTTTCAGAAAATTGAAAGTAAGTTCCTTCTTCTTAAAACTGTAGTCTTTAAGGCAGATTTGGGACTAATTTCCAGCTCTGCAATCATTATCTTTCTCTCAGCTGGTGGTTCAGGCTGGCCTCTTCCATGGCAGTGAGCTCCTGTGCAAAGTGGTGACCAGTAATGAGGTCAGTGTTTGCTCTGAACCCGTATGGGACCAGAAACTAGTGTTTGACATCGGCGTGAGTGACCTGCCTCGAATGAGCCGCCTCTGCTTTGCCCTCTACGGCGTCATCGAGAAGACCAAAAAGCGTCCTACCAAGAAGAAAAACAAAAGAGCGGTATGTTTCAGTTCATTTCAACAGCAAACAAGTCACTTAGCAACCAACACACGGACTGAAGAGAGATGAGACACCTAACAGATGCTATGCTTGGAGGGTTTGACATTCATGGCTGCTG